AATACGATTTTAATCGATAAAAGCTCAATGAAGAAGTTCAGAATATTTCAAAGAAGTCACATGATTTGATTGGATGAGTATAGTACCTACGACAAGAAATTAATGAATTTTTAAATAAAAAGCTGTTACTGGAGATCCTGAACATCCTGATCATTTACAGAAAATTAGTACTCAACTCTTTGCTTGATATCATCATGCTCTAAAATCTTGATTAATATAAACATTCGTTATAATCAAACTATGTAATTGAATATTGCAACTAGATTGCGAATTTTTATGCGCTTATGAGAAGTTTAAAAATCAAGCATCGTACAAAAATATCTGAAATGTTGAAAGTAGAATATTTGTTGTAATATTATAACCTGTGGTTAAAACAAATTTCTGTCGTGTTTCATTTCTTTTTTAACAGTCGTATGTCTACTCTTATCAAGAGCCATCGAAGTAAAAATTCATTCTGATTAAACATTATATCAGTTGTAAATCGAAGTAGATCGAAGATACGTATAAGATTCTTAATAGGACATCACAAGTTTTATTTCAATAGACATTTGCAATTAAATATTTTCTCTCAAAATATTTAATAAAATTTAGATGTTCTCGTGGTGGATAGAATAGTGAAATAATTTGTTAATGATTTCGTCCTGAATGGAATATTTTCAATAGCAAGCTACGTATATTATGTTTCAACCAAAAAATTACTTTAAGAACTGATTACTTTCACAATACAAATTCAAAAATCAGAATTTCACGATAGAGTAGTATTTAATATAATTCTTGAAAGTAATAAATTATATTTATATTATTACATTATCAGTGTTTATTAAATAGAAGCACCATGTCTGCATTAAATAAACAAGCAAACACAATTGTAAAGGATTAATTTCACTCATAATAATAAAAATTTGCATAGAAATCCACAGTCTAATTGGGACTAAATCGCATTTGTTAGCGACCAGATACAATATAAATCTCAATGTTTATCATTTTTTATGAATAAATTTATCCTGAAATTTTTCCAATTTTTGAACAGAGAATGATCGATACAGACTTAAGTGGGGAAAAGTAATATCTGAGTGAAATTTACAACAAAATTGTCTGTAGCGGTTTCTCCGTTCGTAGACCTATTGGTCTGTATTTAAAGGAATATCTACTTCAAACTAACGGTTCGATGACCAAGGATTTCATACAAAAAGAAACCTCGTTGAAAAACCCGTTACTGGCGAGCCATAGATTAAGAATGGTGGTATATGCTAAACGCTGTCGTTTAGTGTCGTAGACAGTGTCGATTGCATAATTGCAACATGATAAGTAATAGCCAGTTCTTGTTTTATTTCGAGAAGGGAAACTCGGCTACATTTACCATCTACTTGCTCCATTTGCACATAAATACAGATTAACAACGAAAGGTCGAGGTTGCTGAAACCGGCTTTGTGAATGACTACAAGAAGAGGAACAACACCATCAAAGGTGTAAGTTTCACAATCGTGTATTCCGAGATGCTTGCGTTCTCGCTCTGCTCGTGAACGAGTAATTAGTTGAAAATAACAAACAGAAAAAAATATATCCAAGTCGAAATAACTGCGAGTGGGTGAATTGAATACAAAATATTTTCACGTTCTTTCGATGAAAACGGAAGTTTCCCATCCAAATTTCATTTTGCTTGTAGCTCTTCGCAAAGAAGTATTTACATATAAAAATATAAAATCTTACATTTTAATATAATTCTATATTATTATATTCTTTACAATTATTATCATGATTAGTGAATCTCAGAAACAATGAGCAATTAAAAGATTCATCTTATCCATTACAAAGGAGTAATTATGTGTAAAAATATAAAATCCTATTATTTTTCTATAATTTTACATTATCATATTCCCTACAATACAATTTTATATATAATTTAATAATTTAATATTTTTTAATACAATTCCACATTAATGGTCCTTCAAATAAATAAACATTCTTTTCAGAATATTGTATATCTTTCTATAATATTAAAATTTTAATTAATTATATATTACTGCTAGTAATTGTTAATTAAATTAAACCACGAATTCCAATAACAATTACCATCTAAAATACAATAATCGACATCCAGAAGATTTATTATGATATTATATAAATATATAATTTAATAATTTAATCTATATTAATAATTCCTCAAATAAATAAGTTTATGCATGATATTAAATATTCTTTTTACAACACTGAAATTTTAATGTCATGATATAATATCTTAATACGATGTATACTCAATACAATAATAAATTTTCATTCATTAATATTACTACAACTATTAATAGTAGTACTGCTAATACTATTACCAATACTAATTGTTAAATTAATTATCTATACTAATTGTTAAATTAATACTATTACCGATAATAATTGTGAAATTAAATTACCCAAAAATAACAACAATTATTATCTAAATAACAGTGATCGATATTCAGGAGATTCTAGCTAGATCGTGGCCGTTATAGTGAGAAATTTAAGAAATCTAAGAAATCTTGGCACCGATCCAGCTAACAAGGGATTCTTCTTTATCGTCCAGAAGTACCGTTTCTTCCGAAGAAATTGCATAATGGAGCTTGCATCGAATTTCTCTCAGCGAGTCAGTCAGGTACCACCTCGTGTTGAACTTCTTGCCAAGAAGTCGTCTAACAACATTGACCAATGACCATCGCCTGGTGACCAGATTCTGGGGCCACGGAGAGTACCGTAAGAATATTCACGTGTTGGTAAAACAGAGAGGGGTAGTGTCCGGTCAACGCTCTTACCTGGTTAATGTATATAAGAGACGCGGTTCGAACGATGTTCACGGCAGATCAACGGTAGACATGTTCGGCAAGATAGTTTTGATTCTTTCGGTTATGGCTCTGGTCAGAGCCCAGATACCCAGCCTGGGTTTCTGTCCAGATTACATACCGATGGCCAACTTTGACATGAACAAGGTAAATATTGATTGATCGGATAAGTTGAAAGTGAAAAATTTATTCTAAAAAGTGTACTATAAAACATAAAATAAGCAATTGTAACTTGGTCCATAGACTAGATAGATTCCGAAGGTAAAGATTAAAAATTTACTTAATGTGTTTTGAAAATGGTAATTTAGTCTGTGTTTTCCAAAGTTGAGAATTAAAAATTTATTCTTGCTTGCTCTTAGATTTACTCTATTAGTAATTATAAGTCGCTGTTGTATGTATTTTAAAGTTAAAAGTGAAAAAAACATATTTTATGGTTTCTAAATATTTACTCTATTAATTATAATTTAATCTATGTGTTCTGAAGTTAAAAATGAAAAATTTATTCTATTGGGATTTGATATTTTATGTACCAACTGTTACAGTTTCAAGAAACTTTAATTATTAGAAGTTAATATTCATAATTACTTAATATTCATGTTATATAAACAATAATTAATATTTTTCGTAGAGTTCTTATCACTTAACACTATATAAAATTACAAAAATGAACCAATTCGTAACTTTTCATAGAAATTTAATAGATTTGTAATAATCATTACTGAATATGTAAAAATTTTTCTTGAA